CACCGGCACCATCATTACCGTCATAGCTGGCTCCCCCCGCCTCCACACCCCCATGTACTTCTTCCTCCTGAACCTCTCCCTCCTCGACCTGGCTTCCATTTCAACCACTGTCCCCAAATCCATGGCCAATTCCCTCTGGGACACCAGGGACATCTCCTATGCAGGATGTACTTCCCAGGTCTTTCTCTTTATCTTTTTGATGTCAGCAGAGTATTTTCTGCTCACTGTCATGGCCTACGACCGCTACGTTGCCATCTGCAAACCCCTGCACTACAGGACCCTCCTGGGCAGCAGAGCTTGTGTCCACATGGCAGCAGCTGCCTGGGGCTGTGGATTTCTCAATTCTCTTGTGCACACTGCCGATACATTTTCCATACCTCTCTGCCAAGGCAATGCTGTGGAGCAGTTCTTCTGTGAAGTGCCACAGATCCTCAAGCTCTCCTGCTCACACTCAAATCTGAGGGAAGTTGGCCTTCTTGTGGTTAGTTTTTCTGTAGCTTTTGTGTGTTTTGTTTTCATCGTGCTGTCCTATGTGCAGATCTTCAGGGCTGTACTGAGGATCCCCTCTCAGCAGGGGCGGCACAAAGCCTTTTCCACATGCCTCCCTCACCTGGCCGTGGTCTCCCTGTTTATCAGCACTGTCATGTTTGCCTACCTGAAGCCCCCCTCCATCTCCTCTCCTTTGCTGGACTTTGTGGTAGCAGTGCTGTACTCAGTGGTGCCTCCAGCATTGAACCCCCTCATCTACAGCATGAGGAACCAGGAGCTCAAGGATGCACTGAAAAAGCTGATTCCATCAGTAGTATTTCTTCAGAAGTAATCTTTCCATGTCTCTCTTCAACAAGTAATTTCCAATGTTTCTGGGGAACCTCCTGAGCTTTGGGTGTTTTTTCTGTGATAATTCTGTTTCCCCAGGAATGTCTGCATGCACTCCACTTCTCCATAGGCATGAACCCAGTATATCTGACCCAGAGATCTTTGCACATGTGTTTGGCCCGATGGCACGGCTGACCTCCCCTGTTGCATCTCTGTCATTAAAGGGTGTTTCCTCTGTTCTTCTGTCTGGAGGTTGGGCTCTTCTTCCAAAGCTGAGGTCAGGAACACACTGAAGAAATTTCCCCCAACGTGGCTGTGCTGATTTGCTGGGGTTCTCCATGGGCTGCAGGGAGGAGGGCATGGGGCGATGTGTTAGGGATTGGGACTGGAGTGAGCTCTCACTGGAGGCCTCAGTATTTGGTGAATTCCAGCACTGGCTGCTCTCCACAGGTTTTTGGGTGAGTTTTGTTGCACGGCCATTCCCTCCTGCTGCTGGGCTCAGTGCCTGCACTGGGGGAACGGCCAGCCCTGCTCGACCTCTCTCCTTGTCCAGACCCTGGCAGACCCTCAAGCAGGGATATCTGCAAAACACCACATGGGATATGGATAGGTTCTAGAATCTGGTGGAGGCTGTCTCAAGTAGGAGGTACAGAAGGAGGACAGGGCACAATGGGTATGTCATGGAGATCATGAAGAGAAATTGTTCCTTACACCAAATACACTCTTTGCCATGCTGTGCCTGCACAGTGGGTCCATGGGACCATGTGTGGAACAGCAGGGCCGGGCCAGCACAGGACAGGGCACTGCCAGGGGCATGAAGCTGCTGCCAGGGGTGACCACCTGGAGTGGCTGGGAGAAAAGTGAAGAGCAAAGAGAAGAGCTGCAATTGCTGTGTTAGAGCCTGAGGCTGAAGAAGAGAAATGCAGGGCTTCTGCTGAAAGTGGGTAGTGATCTGGTAAACAGGAGACACCAATGGTGCTGTGTCCTTCCTTCTGCTGGGATATAATTAATTTCTTAATGATGACTTACGTAGTGCTGCTTTTTGAATTTGGTAAGAGAGTGATGTTGATAATAAACTGATGTTTTAGTTGTACTGTAGTGCTTACACTAGTCAAGGAGTTCTCAGCTTCCCACGCTCTACCAGGGGCACAAGGATCTGGGAGGGGACACAGCCAGCAAAACTGAAACCAACTGACCACAGCGATATTACAGACCATGTGATGTCGTGCTCAGCAAATATGTGTGGGGGAAGAGAAAGGAAGGGGGGGACATGCAAAGTTATGGTATTTGTCTTCCCAAGTAACCATTACCTGTCATGGAACCCTGCTTTCCTGGGGACTGCTGAGCGCCTGCCCATGGGAAGTGGTGAATGAATTCCTTGTCTTCCTTTGCTTGCACACACACAACTTTTGCTTTACCTGTTAAACTGTCTTTATCTCAGCCCATGAGTTTTCTCACTTTTACTCTTCCAATTATGGGGGGATTGAGCGAGCAGCTCTGTGGTGTTTATGTGCTTTCTGGGGTTTAAACAACGACAGGCTGAGAGGCTCATCACCCTATTTGCCTGAGTCTTTACTGAAAAGGTCTCCCAGGCCTCTGTGCTCAATGAAGGTGTTCAGGGAAGAGGAGAGCCCATAATGGCAGGACCCTCAGGAAATCCCAGAAGGACAAATGCCCGTTTCTGCCCCTGCAGGGCACTCAACCTGGCAATGGCACAGGCTGGGGTCTTCCTGTCTGGGAGCAGCTCTGTGGGAAAGGTCTGGGTGGGCAATGAGCTGGACAGGAGGCAGCCATTTGCCCTGTAAGCAAGGGAGGCCACCAGCATCCTGGGCTGGATGACAAGAAACACAATCACGGGCAGGGATTCTGTGGAATGCTCCATCCAGATTTCACATCCCCAATTCAGGAGCGCTACTGGCAAGCCGAAGTGGGTTTAGTGACAGACCCTCATGACAGCCAGGGACTGGAGCATTTTGCCAGTGGGGAGAAGCTGAGGGAGCTGGGCTTGTCCAGCCTCGAGAAAGGAAGGCTGAGTGGGACCTCATCCCAGCCTGCCAGTACCTGTGAGGGGCATATGGGAAATACAGAGCCAGGCTCTTAATGATGGTGTATGTTGGGAATGAACCAATAAGTTTTCAGCCTGGAGATAAGGAAAACTTTTTTCATCATGAGGCTGAGCTCCTCACTCTTTTGCTGTTCCTTCCGAGTGAACCCCTTCCAAGACAAAGTCCCATGAAAGCCCAACCGATGGTCAGTTTCTAGAGCCCTCCATGGGCTGCAGGGGGACAGGTGGTGCCTGTGTCCTCAGCTCCAGAAAGGGAACCTGCCAATGGTGGTGCCTGGGAAAAGTTTTTTAAAAGGTGGGAGCTCAAACAAATGATTTTCTGCTGGATTCTTTATTTATGCAAGGAGACTTCTTCCTTAGATATATTAGGATAGTTCCTTAGAAAAAAAAAAAAAAAACCAACGTTGAATATCAAGAAGAAGTGGGATGAATAATGCTATTTAATTGCAATTAATATTATCACACATATAAAAAACCAAATCTAAAATAAAGAACACAAGATGGTCCTGACTTTTCCTGAGCTACCCTGGAAGTCATATAAAGATGATGGATACTTAACGATGTTAAAATACTATGTGTTCAAACAGTTTCTTCAGGGCATCATTGATCTCCTTGCTCCTCATGATGCAGATGAGGGGATTCAACGCTGGGGGCACCACTGAGTACAGAACTGATACCACCAGATCCAGAGATGGGAAGGAGATAGAGGAGGGCTTCAGGTAGGCAAACATTAAAGTACTTATAAACAGGGAGACCACAGCCAGGTGAGGGAGGCACGTGGAAAAGGCTTTGTGTTGCCCAGGCTCAGAGGGCATCCCCAGCACAGCCCTGAAGATCTGCACGTAGGACAGCACAATGAAAACAAAACAGCCTGTCCTGGTTTCTGCTGGGACAGAGTTAATTTTCTTCCCTGTAGCTGGCACAGTGCTGTATTTTGGGTTTTGTACGAGAAGAATGCTGATAACGCACTGATGTTTTATTTGTTGCTGGGTAGTGCTTAGACTGCACAAGGACTTCTCAGCTCTGCCAGGTGCATGAGAAGTGGGGAGGGGACACAGCCAGGACAGCTGATCCCAGCTGACCAAAGGGCTATTCCAGACCATATGACATCATGTTCCGTGTATAAGCTGGGGTAAGAAGAAGGAAGGGGGGGACGTTTGGAGCGATGGTGTTTTTTCTTCCCAAGTCACCATTACGCAGGATGGAGCCCTGCTTTCCTGGAGATGGCTGAGCACCCACCTACCCATGGGAAGTGGTGAATGAATTCCTTGCTTTGCTTTGCTTGTGTGTGTGTCTTTTGTTTTCCCTATCAAACCGCCTTTATCTCAGCCCACGACTTTTCTCACTTTTACTCCTCTGTGGTATGCAAGAAATGCAGAAGCCGAGTGGGCAGTAACCGCAAGGCCAAGAAGAGGAGGAGCAAGAGGACATCACCGTGACCACACAGTGACTGGCAGGACTGGAATGTGGCTTTGCTATAAAACTTAGGGCTCAAAATTAAACTGCATCACTTGGAGCATCCATACTGTGTATGCTGTGTTTCCTTGACCCGCAGACGGCAGGGTGTCTGCGTGATCCTTCGGGTAACCTTAAAGTTGATACAAGAACCAACACTCCTCTGATTATCTCCCTGTCCCATTGTGGGGGGAGTGAGCGAGTGGCTGTATGGTTCTTGGTTGCCAGCCAGGGTTAAACCACAACACACCCAAATGCTAAACAAGGATTAAACACAAGAAGGCAAATTTCCCTGAGGTGGGCATTTGAGCAGGAAAGACTAAAGATGTGGGGGATTTCACAGAAGAGCTGGTCCACAGCATTGCCCTTGCAGAGGGATAGTGAAAATGCATTGGCCATGTGCAGCACAGCATAGGGGAAAACACTGCCCCAGGCAGCTGCTGCCATGCAGACACAAGCTCTGCTGCCCAGGAGGGTCCCATAGTGCAGGGGGTTGTACATGGCAATGTAACAGTCATAGGCCATGACGGTGAGAAGAAAAAACTGCTGAAATGAAAAAGACAAACAGAAAGAGCTCGACAGCACATCCCACATAGGAGATGGCCCTGGTGTCCCAGAGGGAATTGGCCATGGATTTGGGCACAGTGGTGGAGCAGAGCCCAGGTCAATGAGGGAGAGGTTGAGGAGGAAGAAGTACATGAGGTTGTGGAGACGGTGGTCGCAGGCTATGGCAGTGATGATGAGGCTATTGCCCAGGAGAGCAGCCAGGTGGATGGCCAGGAAGAGCCAGAAGTGCACAAGCTGCAGCTCCCATGTGTTTGTGAGTGCCAGGAGGATGAACAGGGTGATGGAGCTGGCACTGGACATTTTCTTCCTCTGGGAGTGGGGAACTGTCCAAGGAGGAAAAGACAGCGTTAAGTTAGGAATGACTTATCCGAAGAAAAGCCCATGCCATTTGTTATAGAAATCTCCCTCCCTGAGCTGAAAGAGGAATGAGCCAGCTCATTCCCCAACCCTAATAAGTGAATGACATTCTGCCAGAATGTCCAAAACACAGCTTAGACGTGCAGTTTCCATGAGGCACTGGAGTCAGCGTAGAAACTAACCCCCCAAGAGCAAGAGTATGACAGACAGATGGTGAAACAAGGAAGAACACGGCTATGCTGCAGAAGAAAGAAGCAAGAAGCGAAAGGCTGATGGGCATGCAGAGAAGCCTTCTCCTTACCCAGCTGTGCTCTGCGCCTCACAGACAGCAGCAATGTGGGGCACTCATTTTTAGCCTGTTTGTTGTGTATCAGCTGTAGGACACAGGCACTTCTAGACTGGAGGTCCAGCTGCCGAGGAGTTGACTCAGGCCCCGGACCCTGTGTCCTTGGGGTCAAATCTGTGCTGGAGAGGAGACTATGGCCTTGCTCTGGGGAAGCTGTCTGAACTGCAGGGGATGGCAGGGATGTGCCCAAATCATGCTTCCCACAGCATTTCTGGAAAGAGCTTCCTGTCCCTCCCTGCCCATGTCTCTGCTGTCTGGAGCTGTCCCTGCCAGGAGCTGTTTCTCTGTCCCCATATCTCTCTGTGTCAGTGCTCACAGACCGCATCCCACCCGCTGTGTGCTCACCTCTGCTCTGCAGACACCTCCCACAGCAGGGCACTGGCCAGGAGCATTTCTGTGTGTGCAGGGGCTAAGGAGCCGCTCAGACATGGCCTGACAAGAACTGGGGTTTCCATGCCTTCTCCAGAGTGGAGAACAAAGTTCCCATCTCCCACTGCGCACCCAGACAACCAAGAGGAGAAAAGTCAAAGCACAGACTGCTTCTCTTTCAGGCAAATACTGCCTTGCTGTTCGTCTGCAAAAGGACTCTCTGCAAATGTCCTGGGGTGATGTGGAGCTGTGGGAAGCCTTGACACATGCAGCACACTCTCAACAGCGGAGGTATCCTGCCATGCGGGCAGTCACTCCTTGTGCACTCAGCTTCTCCCCACAGTGCCATGGGGAGCTCCCCAGGCAGGCTGAGTGCTGACCCTGGCAGGTGGCAGAGTCCCTGCTCCATCACACAGCCCCCTGGGGTGCAGGGACCCTGCTGGGAAGGACAGCCCTGGGCACCCCTGCCTGCACACCCACCTTCACACCCTGCAGCCCTCCCTGGGAGGAACAAGCTGTCATACCCTGTCCCTCCGATGATGCGGCAGGGAATCCCTGCTCTGGAACTCATCCTTCTCCTCCACACCAACCATGGGATGTGCAACTTGAGGAGATCCCTCCAGGAACTCCTGTGCATTGCCCTATGGCCAGAGACTTATGGTGTTAAAGGCTGTGAAGATGCCTTCCACTGCAGACTGCCTTTAACCTCTGTCTGCCTCCTCATCTCCCCTCCACGTTTGCAGAGGAGCTGCTCCTGGACAGAGCTGTCTCTCTGCTTTCTACACTCCCATGGTGCCATAAGCTCCCTGCATCCCAGGAGCCTGTCCCAGCTCATCAGCAGAAGACCAGCCCAAGGCTGAAGTAATCACTGACGGTCCCTCCCTCAGCTGTGCAGAGACACTTGTCCCAGCAGTGAAATCTCTTCTATTAGATAAACCACTGGGCATGAGAATCACCTTTTCTTCCCCCATCATTAGAGAGGACACCAGGCATGTGACAGGGAAGGATTTACTTTCTCCAAGCTGGGGGAATGTTTTCAGTTTAGTGAGTTCAGGCATTTCATTCTGGTTTGTAGTCCGAGGGCTAGAAAGACATGCGGAATTCCTCTGTCCATGCCACGTCTCTGCTTTGAAGCAAAGCTTTCGCACACACAAGGTCTTGGATGCATGGTACCAGGATTCCTTATGGCAAGAAGGAACTTGCCTGGTGCCACATCTGGGGTGCTATAGCCCAAATGTGCAGCAATGGTCTCAGCAAGGGGCACACACAGGATAATCTGGAGTTATTAGTGTTGGAGTCAGTGGGGTGATAGTGATGGAATCAATTGCCAAGGCATGGTTGCAGAGCTCAGTACAGCTGGTCTTCAAGGACAGCATCCTCCAAGCAGAGCAATAATCCAAATTGAAATGCAGTCTGAACTTGAAAGGCAATTCAAGGACACCATAAGGAGTCTTTACCACCTCAGGAACAGTTAAGGAAGAAACATAGAAGATGCTGTGCGGCCACTGCTACATTTAACAAGAACAGCTGTAGATAGGTCTGAGATTCTCCATGTCCTCTTTGCCTCAGC